CAAACCAAGAATTGTATGTATGCGCGCGCAAATTCAATTAGAATTTCCGATCCTAACAACATGCATGCAACATCACAAACATCATATTCACATGCGTACATAACACCAACACTGAAAAAAAAATACTAAGACTAAATTACCTTCAATTATCTTACCTTATTAATGAACGTAGCACATGCTTCCGCAATTATTTTCAGCTATAAATACCAAACCTCGAGCAAGCAATGAATTAGTACAACTCTGCTTCTCCTTCAGAATTTCATAAACGGACAAATCTTTCGCCTTTTACTAAAGATTTCCGTGGAGAAGTATTAATTGGTTACAAGAAGACGGATGGAGAGGAATCCTTCTGGATGTGGTGGTGACGAAGATGGTCGCACTGGTCGTGGGAATCCTGGTGGCGCTGCTGGTGGTGTTCTTGCTGCTCCTGGTGGTGCTGGTGGTGATGCAACCCGTGGCGGTGGTCCTGTAACTGCTGGTGGTGCAAGTCGTGGTGGTGATAGTCGCGGTACTGGTGGTGCATGTCGTGTTGCTGATGATGCGGGTCGTGTTGATGATGCTAGTCATGGCGGAGGTGGTGATAGCCGTGGTCCTTGTGGTGAAAGTCGTGTTGCTATGATGCAAGTCGTGGTGGTGATGATGTCAGTCATGGTGGTGATGATTCCGGTCGTGTTGCTGGTGCAACCCGTGGTGGCGATTCTGGACGTAGTGCTGGTGTTACTGGTCGTGGTGGAGGTGATGGACGTCGTGATGCTGCTCGCGATGCAAGGCGAATTCGTGGTAATGACAGAGAGGCTGGTGATGATGAAATGCAGACAGATGGTGCTGCACGGCCTGCTGATCGTGACGAACGGCGTGTGGATGGTGTGGAACGGCAAGCTGAAACTGGTCCGGCTTGGTTATGGGCGGATATCGTTGGTGAGGTTGGGGAAAACGTCAACTCGCAAGAGCCAAACAGACCGGGTAATCGTGTGCCCATGCCGAATGTACAATTTGGAGGACGTGTAGCTCGGCCAAACACTGTTGTTTTACACGCTCAGGCATTTAAAGACATCTCGGTTCGTGAAGTCATGGGTAGTCTCTTGAAGTGTGTGAGACAGGACACAATTAAATGTCTCCAGCAAGTTCCGGGCCCTAGTTATCGTGTCACGTTTCGTTCGACGGAATTCAAACAACTGTTTTTGAATCAAGAATTCTCGGTGCGTGGTGAACGCGTTATTGCACAAGAAGTGGAAACACCTTCTCTGATGGTTAAAGTCTTGTTTGTTCCAACTGAAATTTGAAACCAATTGGTGGCAGAGTCCTTGGAGAAATATGGGACAGTTACGTAAGTTGACCGTGAAATGTTTAGTGATTGGGCCAACGTTGAATCTGGGGTACGCGTCGCAATGATGTCTAATCTTAAAGAGGGTATACCACGTCGCTTTTTTATTGGCCCCTATCCAGTTGAAACCCGTTATAGAGGTCAGGTGCCGCAGTGCGGTCGATGTGGCCAATATGGGCATCGTGTCGCAACGTGTGTCAATGATGTGAAGTGCTTTAAATGTGGACAAGATGGTCATGTCAGACGAGAATGCTTCAAATGTTTTCATTGTGGTCGGTTTGGTCATGTGAGGCTGAATTGTCCCGAGCACCCCCTGAACCAAGCGATAGCCACCGACAACCATCGTGAAGAAGACCAGAACAGCGAGATCGAAGTGCAAAATTCTCAACGTCGGCCGAGTCGGAAGAATTCCGATAGTGGCGACGCATCCATGAGCAGTAGCGACCACTCTGATCATGATTCAGCGGACAAAAAACCCCATTTGAGCAGTGGTGATGATTCCATGCCTGAGATGGACTCTCCGGAAGTGCAGCGCACAGCATCGGATCACAACAAACGCAAGGCTGAAGATGATCCTGCCGTAGCTGATGGCCAACCTGATCAACCCAATGGTGCATCCAAGCTTAAAAAGAAACGGCGGCGGAAAAAACGACGATGACCGAATTATCCTTTATCACGCTCAATGTTAATGGCATTCGGGACTATAAAAAACGTAGTGTACTCTTTGATTTTTTAAAACAGGGAAAATATGATGTAATTTTTCTCCAAGAAACACACATTACTTCTGTTGATGAATGCGTTGTATGGAACAGAGAATCCGGTTTCAAAGGATACTGGAGTCTTGGTACGACTAGCAGTTGCGGAGTGGGCATTTTGTTGCGTGATAGCTCTCGGTTCAAACACTGTTCTTTCCGCTGTGATGGTGAAGGTCGTATTACTACTTTGGATTGTTCTTTCAATAATCAGGATTTTCGTTTTATTAGTATTTACGTGCCTACTGATGGGAGTCAGCGAATTGAATACTTTCAGAACTTTGATCGACATCTCGTTACTCGGCGCCGTTTGGTAATTGGCGGGGACTTTAATTGTATGCTTGATTTGGCGAAAGACAAGCGGGGTGGGAATGAGTTCTTTGGGTGGTATCGGTGCTCCACATTTAAAGAATTTAATTGCGAGATTTAGTTTAGTGGACATCTGGCGAAAACAACACCCGACTGATCAGCAGTTTACGTGGCAAAACAGGCTCGGAACGATTAAATGTCGCTTGGACAAATTTTATATTTCATCTTCGCTTGCAAAAGACTATGACATCGAAAGTACTATTGAACCTTGTCCATATTCGGATCATAATATAGCAATTATTACGTTGAAAGTGGAACGCTCAAGTAATAACGTTGGTCCTGGAGTTTGGAAACTCAATTCCTCCATTTTGAATGATACGACTGTTCGGGATAAAGTAGTGGCATTCTGGAGCGATTGGCAGAAAAAGAAACAATACTTTAGTAATGTTGGCGAGTGGTGGGACACCGGTAAATCAAGAATCAAATCCCTTCTCATCAAATGTAGTAAAACAAAATTGATTAAATCGAAACAGGAACGGGCTCGAGTATTAAAGAGATATCGTACATTGGTTGCAAAAGATAACTTATCGGCAAACGAGGTTGAGGAACTCGACGCAGTCAAATCTCAATTGGGAACAATTGATTTTCAGCGAGTTGAGGGCAATAAAATCCGATGTAAAGCGAAGTGGGTCGAAGCAAATGAACAGCCTTCGAGGTTCTTGTTTCAACAAGAGAAAAAGCAAGCTGTCAAGAAAACTTGTCCGGCTTTGCATACGGCTGATGGGCGCAGGGTAACTGACCAGGAAGGTATCATGAGCGAACAGGTTAAGTTTTATAAAACTTTGTATTCTAAAGTACCTACGGACAGTGCTGCACAAGATCGCTTGCTCAACTTATTAGAGCGAAAACTGACAGACGAACAACGTGACTCGTGTGAGGATTTGTTTACTGCGAGTGAATGTTCAGCGGCCTTAAAGTCAATGTCACGTGGTAAAACGCCCGGTTCGGACGGCCTCCCAAAGGAGTTTTATATCACATTTTGGGACATGTTGCGGGAGGACTTTGTCGAGATGGCGAACAATTGCATTGCAGATGGCATAATGCCTGAATCCCTGCGTCAAGCTATGATATCACTCCTGTACAAGAAAGATGATCCTGAGTTATTAAAAAATTGGCGTCCAATTTCGCTGTTAAATGTGGATTATAAAATAATTACGAAAGTTCTTGTCAATCGAATGAAACCTTTAATGTCCACAGTGATCGACCCCGACCAGTGTTGTGCCGTACCTGGCCGTTCCAGCGAAGATAATGCCACCCTCCTTCGTGACATTTGTGATTATCTCGAAATTCATTCTCAGACAGCGTGTGCGTTTATATCTCTTGACCAAGAAAAGGCCTTTGACTATGTTGATTGGAAGTTTCTTGATAGGATACTTGAGACTATGAACTTTGGCCCACAGTTTCGTTCTTTTATCACTTGCATTTATACGGACATTCAGAGTGCCATATTATCAAATGGATACGTGTCAGAATTTTTTAATGTTCAACGTGGTGTTCGTCAGGGCTTCCCTCTGTCTCCACTTCTATTTGTGCTCGTCGCAAAGGTGTTTGGTCAAGCCATTCGTAAATGCCCGGAAATTCAAGGTTTGCGTCTTCCCGGTGGCAAAGAAGTCAAAATCTCTCAGTATGCTGATGATAATACTTGTATCGTTACAAACACTTATGGAATTTTTAAGGTTTTTGATGTATTTGATGAATACGGTCGAGCGTCTGGGGCGCGACTCAACAGAACTAAGTCAAAAGGTCTTTGGCTGGGCAGATGGCGCTGTCGCACAGATTCTCCATGTGGGTTAGAGTGGGTTAATTCTCGCCTTAAGATTGTCGGTGTTTATTTTGGTGACGAAGGTGCGTGTTTGAAATCGTGGGAGGAAGTCTCGGCAAAGTTCATCGCGGTTATCAAGAAATGGGAATCGCGGTTTTTAACTTTACGTGGGAAAGTAACGGTGCTTGATAGTTTGGCGGTCTCAACGATCTGGCATGTCGCGAAGATTTACCCTCCTACTCGTGAAATGTTAGATTCCCTCCAGTCCCAAATATGGAAGTTTGTCTGGTCCAAAAAACCGGAATTGGTACGTCGCGAAACATATATGTCGAATTATGATCATGGTGGTCTTCGAGTCATCCACCTCGACATTAAAAGCAAGACGTTATTAATTGGGCGGATTTTCTGATTTCTTGAAGTGAATCAAGAAGCGTGTCCTTGGCAAGTTCTAATGCGTTACTACGTGGCACGGCCTTTGGGTATCAATGACAACATGAAGCCAAATTGTGATATTCCGTCCCCATTTTACAGTCATCTTCTTCGTGTGTTGAAAGAATTCTCGGTGGATTTGAGCCAACCTCAGCCAAGCAAATTTTACTATACTCGTCGTCTGCAAAATTGTGTTTCTCCAATTCAAACGCGAAGCGAAGTGCATTGGAATCGGCGGTTTGGTCCAGGAGTGATTTGGAAAGATATCTGGAAAGAAATTGCTCGCAGTAAGAATGATCCAGTTTTGCGGGATTTTGATTGGCGGACGGTTCATCGTATCCTACCGGTAAATTCTCGCATGCATCAGTGGAATTCACGGTTGCCGTCACGATGTGTTCGGTGTGGAGCTCAAGTTGACACTTTAGAACATGTGTTGGTTGATTGTTCAAAGATTAAAGATATGTGGATGTTCATATTAAATTTGTGTCATCGAATTGATCCATCTGTGATTGGTTTGTCAGAGAAGAACTTATTTTTGGGTTGCTTTTCACAACGGGGAACGAAGGATTTCTTGCGTTATCTAATGTGTGTGGGCAAATTTTCCGCTTGGAAAGAACGGGTTTCGTTACAATTCAAGAAAGATCAGAAAATTAACTGTCAAATATATTTCAAGAATTACGTTCGACAACGACTTCAAATAGAACAATGCTTTCTAAGTGTGGACGCATTTGTATCAAAATGGTGTATGAACAATGTTTTGGCGTGTGTAAGAGACGATACTATTGAGATTTTAATATAGAACAATAAGTTAGTTTTGATAGAGACGATTCAGATTTTGATATCGAACAATAAGTGACAATAAGTGTGTTGTGTATTAATTGTGTAAATAATTGATTCCCCATAGTGATTTTCATTATGTGGGCTTTTTATTAAAAATCCTTTTACTAAAGATTTCCGTGGAGGAGAAGAAAAGAATGAGTCTATAGACATTTTTTCCTGGCTTGGCTCACGAGCTGAGCCGATTAATTAATTAACACAAGCAAAAAAGCGTCATCAAACCAAGAATTGTATGTATGCGCGCGCAAATTCAATTAAAATTTCCGATCCGAACAACATGCATGCAACATCACAAACATCATATTCACATGCGAACATAACACCAACACTGAAAAAAAACTACTAAGACTAAATTACCTTCAATTATCCTACCTTATTAATGAACGTACCACATGCTTCCGCAATTATTTTCAGCTATAAATACCAAACCTCGAGCAAGCAATGAATTAGTACAACTCTGCTTCTCCTTCAGAAATTCATAAACGGACAAATCTTTCGCCTTTTACTAAAGATTTCCGTGGAGGAGAAGAAAAGAATGAGTCTATAGACATTTTTTCCTGGCTTGGCTCACGAGCTGAGCCGATTAATTAATTAACACAAGCAAAAAAGCGTCATCAAACCAAGAATTGTATGTATGCGCGCGCAAATTCAATTAGAATTTCCGATCCTAACAACATGCATGCAACATCACAAACATCATATTCACATGCGTACGTAACACCAACACTGAAAAAAAACATACTAAGACTAAATTACCTTCAATTATCCTACCTTATTACCTTATTATAGTAATGTATTCACACTTGCGTACACTATTAAGTGATTTTGTGTGGATATTAAATAATCAAGATATTATTTTGAATAAATATGTGTAGGCAGTGTAGCGGGATTGTAATTATACAGCTAGTTTTGCTAAACTGCGCATAGCCATAGAGTACTTGCTTTCTGATTCTGCAATTGTCTGGCAGTTATCGAGAATTGAGATTCTACTTGGTTTGTTGGCTGAACCACTGTTTGTTGACTCGACGACGCATTTACTTGATATACATGTGATATTTTGGTTTCTTGATACTTTCTATGTCATCATGTCATGCTATTATGACTATAGTTATAAATCTGAGTACGCTGTATGTCCTGTATGCCCCTGAACTTATCTCAAAATTTGGGGTAAATAAATATTGAAATGAATAATATAAATTTACGTACATCGCAAGGCGTATGGGGTAATAGATATTTACATGCACGGGCCAGACAGAGCTCGGACAGACTAGACAATAGAGAGGTTAAGATACCCCGGTTCCGATTTACAGGTACCAGTATCGCCATTTTGTTTAGCAATTTTTCCTGATGTCAGCATTTTTACCCGTAATTTCTACCCGTTTCCCCGCGGAACCAAGGTCTACACGTAAAAGATAAACGGGTACGGGTGTTTTCTGTTTACCATATGTGGGCCGTTTAAACTGTAAAAATTTTAAACATCTTACCAGGGACTTAGCCAGGATTTTAGATCTTGGGCGTGTTTCTAAATGACCAGGGTGTGCACATGTCAATTACCTCAAATAGCCAAATTCACGGTTCTAGTTATGGTCGCCAACAACAGACAATAACTGTGGTTGTTCTATGCTTTGCAAGTTATTTCAGCAACTCTTGTGGGCATTTAAAACCATTTTAACACCACACAGTTCCCATTATCCATCAAAACATTAAAACATAGATTTTACAAACGTAGATTTTACAAACGTAGGTTTTACAAACTTTCTTACGACGTACAGTAAATAGGAAGAAATGGACAACTTGCATGTCAGACAAAATTTTAATCTTAGCAGAGAAAAGGGAATCAGACACCACAGCTAAAAAGAACATACTGAAATTAGTAAAAGTGCAAAATTTGGTTGCGAAATGTTGTAAAGCTTGGAAAATATAGCCTTGCAAAGTTTGCATATTTTCAGTATATTTGTATTACGAGCGGAAATTGTTACCATTTTTGAGCCGAAAATGGTAACAATTTCCGCACGTAATACAAATATACTGAAAATATGCAAACTTTGCAAAGCTATATTTTCCGAGCTTTACAACATTTCGCAACCAAATTTTGCAAGTTTACTAATTTTAATAAGTTCTTAACGGGAATTTACTTTTTTTGGCCTAGATCGGCTAGATCAAAAATTTGTCTAACATGCAAGTTGTCTATTCTCTCTGTTATTTTATGAACCTAAACACGGCCTTATAAAAATAATGAAACCGCGTTCATTTTATCTAGCCGTGTTTTTCCCTTTTTGGCCGCGATAACACGGCCAACACGGCCCTCTAGCTAAGACCCTGCATCTTACCCAAATAAATAACGCACATATGCTCGTCAAAGTTTTCAACAATTTATAGCGAACCTCAACAGCGAAAGTTACCATTCTCTGATCGCCGTTTTCACACGCCGGAATATCTTGGATTTCTTAAGTTACAAGTCGTTCCCCGATTTACGGGTACGGGTACGTGTATATCACCCGTACCCGTAAACCGGAACCGGGGTATCTTAACCTCTCTAATACTAGCAGAACAGTCTCAGTACATGGAAATTTGAAATTTGAAATTTTCGTAATGGCTAATTTCCTTCCCGACATTTTGGCGACATTTTTAGCGCTATGAAATGGCGGCGCGCAAATTGTAAACTGAATTGGTATCAGATTGGTATATAAAATAATCAGTTTATTTAAAAATATCACTCACCTGCAAATTCTGCAAACAAGAATTTGTTCCACTGTTTGAAAGGGGGAAGGTATTGTCTTTACAAAATAACATGACGATATTGAATGGTGCTATATGTGTGGAATTGCAGATTGCCTTGAATACAAGTATATAATTATAAACACTGGAATTGTTGAAATTTCGTCAAATATCAAAACGTGATGGCTGATGACAGCATGTAGTCAGCAGCTCACAGCAGGTATGTTGATATATAAAATATTAATAACTGACCGAACAGGTGGCACCATAGAATAGGAAATAGAGGGGTAACTCGAGTGTGAAATTTTAAAGTTTGCATGTCGACTTTGATCACCATTAATATTCTGGGCAGTATTAAAACACTAAACTGCATCAAATTGAGAGGTTATATGCCTTGCCCACTACTGTACATGTTCCCTTCATTTCCTATTCTATGATGGTACTATAAAATTCTACTAAATTGTACTATGTGGCCGCTGATTATTTATTGTTTATGGGGCCCGATGAGAAACTCTGTAGATGAAGAACTCTGTAGAAAATTTAAATAGAATTCTCAAACCCCCCCCCCCC